ACCGGCCCGAAAATGACAAGTTTCTCGCTACAATACACGTTTATAAACGTCTTCACGTCGATGATTTGTCAATTTTTTTCACACGAAGTTGAAAAAAATTACTGGTTTTCAAAAAATTAATAAACGTACTGTGCAAAATAAGAACGTACTGGGTGGATGTTAGGGCCCAAAAAAATAAACGTACCCGTATGTTTATTCGGCAGATGAGAGTAAGACTATAAGTATAAATGCTGTATGCAAGTCACACTGCATAGTCCAAATAGTACTGTTCCTTTTTGGAAGAGGAAAGTTTTCATAAAGGTAAAAATTAGTACAGCTAGAAAGCAATTTTGTCATTTGTATTTTGTGTGTGTGTTGTCTCAACAATGATGATACTTATAGAAATACCAAAATGTAGATCTACAGTTTAAATCAATAATTTTTAGGTTTTTATATTTAAATCTCAATCGAGAGTCATGTCAAAGCTGTCAGTGTGCAATATGCGTTTAAAAGTTATCCAAAAGCCAGGTAAACTATTAAGCTGCAATCGCATGTGGCTATCTATAACACATAATCACATGTGGTTACACAAACATCTAGGTGCATTTTAACAACAGCTTTTGCACGATAATGATTTGCACGCATGTAGATGATATTAAGTTATTCGAGATCTACGCCTTATGGAAGGTTTTGTAGGCCTCCAGTGAAGGACAAGTCTAACAGGTGGATTTAGATTAAGAGGAGCCAAATTTTGTGATGTCAAATATATTCATAGCTAAGAAATATAGGCCACCAAGCAAACTGTCATTCTCCGGTACCCAACTGGTCACCAGTTACTGGTCAATCAGAGCATGAATTAATGACCCGCCTGAGGTGTACATTTTATATGGTATCATAAAGCTTGGCCATATCATCCTATAACCATTGAATAAATCGCCAAGTGAAACATGTAGCCTATCAACTTTCTAATAGTGGATGGAAGCAGTGTCATGTTTAATTGCACATCTATCAAAGAGTAGGCCAAAATCAATATGGGATGGAAATGGAATGTTCATGAATATGTTTGAAGTACATGTAGTCTGGCCCTGTGGTACATGTATCTCAGCTTTCGCTATATGATAGTTTATTGGCTTTCGCTATGTGATAGTTTATTACCTCAGAAGAGCCCCAAAGAAGATGCAGCAGTGAAGGCTGGTCATATTGGGCTCATAAGCATTTTGCTTGTTTGTTTATCTGTTTACTGTTTTTTATACAACTGGAAACTCAATATAGTCATTATACTTAGAAGCAGCTCATCATGAGCATCTTGTTTTTGGTTTTTGTTTTTTGTTTTGTTTATGTGAAAGACTGTTTGCTATTTGTGTTTGTCAGGAGACTCTCCATTTAAGCAGACATAGTAGAGGCTGCTCATGAGCAACATGTTTTTGTTTTTGTTTGCTTATCTGTTTACTGTTTGTTGTTTGTTAGGAGACTCCCATAGAAGCAGCCGCAGTGGAGGCTGGTGAGGAGAAAGAGGAAGCGTCTGGAGCCGCCGCAGCCAAGCTGGACGCAGACGACCTGAAGTACATCAAGCACCCCCTGCAGAACAGGTTAGTAGCAGGAGGAGTCCCTAGGCAGGTGTCTTGTCTTTGGGGGTTAAGGTAGCCAACATCAACTTGCTGATGATTCTGATGATTCTGATACACTGTAGAATTGGGCTGTAGAATTTGGACCAGGGCATACCCCTACTCCTTTTCATAAGGTTTGGTGGGTTCTTTAACGTGCGTGGGGTGTGGCTCTCCCAAACACGGGACCTCCATTTAACATCCTATCCGAGGGGCGTCCCTAACTGAAGCTAGGTGCTCATTTTTACCTGAGTGAAATGAAGAAAGTTGTGTAAAGTGCTTTTCCCAAGGGCACAACATCGGACATGCAGATGGAATCGAACCCAGGACCCATGGGTTTTGGGCCGAATGCCCTACGATTACGCCACACGATGCCACTAAAGAGGTCTCAAATCCCACCTACATATGCAGGTTAGTGCTGGTAAAACTGAAGTTGTGCAAGTTTTCTGATGTCTACCTGCATCTAACCTGTCAGGTAAAAATGGCGAAAAGATATTTGATGTAGGAGATTTATTTTGTTGGTTTGATTTTCCAGATGGGCTCTGTGGTTCTTCAAGAATGACAAGACCAAGACTTGGGCTGCCAACCTTAGATGTGTGTCCACTTTTGACACTGTTGAGGACTTCTGGGCGTAAGTCACTCACTTGTGATGTGTCCTGTAATATATATGTATATGTTGTATTTCCTTGCTATCACAGTGTCATTTTTTTGTGTCATGCATGTGTCACATTTTGGGTCACTGGAATGCACAAAAAATTTCTGCTAGGCATGCACTAGTTGTTACTTTAACCCAAGTTGTTTTTTGGGAGGTTGTATGTGTAGTGTATGTATAGTCTTCTATTTCTGACTGCCATGTTTTTTCTTTGTTCTAGCCTGTACAATCATATACAAGTAGCCAGCAGACTGCAGTCTGGATGTGACTACTCCCTCTTCAAGGTGAGTTAGTTTAATAGAGGACTTCAATAGCACCCTTTATTCTATCACTATCAGTGTTTGAAATTTGTGTTTGCTATCATTGGGTTGCATCTGCACATCTTGAGGGACTATTATGCATGTTATATGTAGTTTTCTCACCTCAAGGGAGTGAGGTATTTTTTTTTGTTGTCTGTGTGTGAATTCCCAATGTAACATGCTACATTGCCATACATTTTTTATGGTGGGACCTGAAAGGTTCACAAAGCAGTATGCGTAAGGTTGTGAAGCCTGCCATCTCTGATCCCCCTGTCGTTGGTTTGATTCCCAGGATGGAGTTGAACCCATGTGGGAAGATCCCTTCAACAAGACGGGTGGGCGTTGGCTCATCAACATACAGAAGCAGCAGCGCCACTCAGACCTGGACAGATTTTGGTTGGAAACTGTAAGTTAAATATAAGGCCACACCAATTTAATTTCTTGGTTAACGGATTTTTCTAGAAAAATAATGGAGCGGGCGGGCGAAAAAAAAATAAAAATAAAAACAGGCCTAGGCATCGCATTATGGCCCAAAATGGTACGATAGGAACCATGAAGTCAACACACCAGGCAAGTTCAAAATTTAAACAATGAATTTTGAACTTTTAATGATACTATTGCATTGAAAGATGGAATAACTGTAACAACTAGGATGAAAAGGTCTGTTTTTAACTGTTCAGGGCAAAATATGAGCAGTTTGCAGTTGATTCTGGATTTTTATTTTTATTTGCAAATCAGAAAAAAATGAAGCGGCAAATCCGTTAACCAAGAAATTAAATTGGCGTGGCCTAATGGATATTGGAGTGTTATGTTATAAGTCTGTCAGACACCTTCCACAGTCCTTGTTACTACTGCTTGTCACTATATGTAGCCAATGTGGGTGGCGCTTTTGTGGTGAGAACACAATCCCAAACATGGCTAGGTTTGTATCCCCCCTCGTCCCGATTCATCACTGGGGTTGACTTTCTTATCCAAACAGCCTCCTTTAGTTGTTTTTTTTTAAATTTTATTTATTTTATGAAGATATACCACATTTGTGGAAGAATTGACATAACAGGTGACTATCACCTCTTCAAGATGTCAAACCTGAAACCGGACTGTAAGGTTTGAACCGCTCACACCGAAAAGGACCCCTACTCTTTTCGATAAGTGCGGTGGGTTCTTTAACGTGCGTGGGGTGTGGCTGTCCCAAACACGGGACCTCCATTTAACGTCCTATCCGAGGGACGTCCCTAACCGAAGCTAGGTACTCATTGAATGAAGTGAGGAAAGTCATGTAAAGTACCTTTCCCAAGGGCACAAGATCAGTGACACCGCGCAGGATTCGAACCCAGGACCTCTTGGGCCTGGGCTGAACACACTACTGCTACGTCACACGACTGTTGTCCTCTCTGTCTATTACATTATTATGACTTGTCCTACGTACTGTGATTCTCCCAGCTGCTGTGTTTAATTGGAGAAGCCTTTGAGGAGGACTCAGACGAAGTGTGCGGTGCCGTCATCAACGTTCGCAGCAAAGGGGACAAGATTGCAATTTGGACACACGACTGTAAAAACTCTGAGGCTGTCATAAGAATCGGGTAAGTTTGTTGACGTTCTCTCCAAACATTCAGAATCATATAGAGTAGCTCTTGGGAAAATATTTGGTAAGCAGGGGCTTTATAAACTTAACAATATGGGCAACATTTTACTTGCAATTTCAAAAAAAATTCTATTACTCAATAAGCACAAGTAAGTAGTATTAAAGTTGACTTTTAGTATGTAAAAACAGTTACTCAAGCAGCTAGATTTTGAAAATCTGTCCAGTTGCTTGAGTAACTGTTTTCTTGTTTGTCTCATTCCCTGGATGTCTAACCTTAGTTGTATGATACAAAGCCTGATGGTTTTGAGACTGAAAAATTGCAAATTGGCTGTATATTTTCACTTGCAACTTGCATATTTTTTATCTGTTAAATGAAGTTGGGAAAACCATAACCTAATGGAGAAGTAAAGAAATCATTTGTGTTTGAATGCAGAAATTTGTTCAAGATTTTTAACTGAAGCAAGATAGGATACTAATTGAAGTTTTATTTGTTTCTGTTGCAGTCGAAAGTTCAAAGAGAGGCTAAACCTTCCCCCTAAGTTTGTCATTGGTTACCAGGTGAGCCCTTCCCCTTACTAAAATTGAGCTTAAAAATATCATCTGTCTTGGATTCATCTGATAAGGAATTGTGTAATTGTAATTTGTACATGCATGGCACTGGGCAGTTCAATTTTTGTGAACATAGATCATTACCTTTGCCTAGAATGTTATGCTTTTGGTAACACTTGTTTATGTATGTATGTATGTATGTATGAATAATGTGGTCTAGCACAATGACTTGAGATGCTGTTATGAAATTTCGTTTTGGACTCCCTGGTAGCTTTCCTTGGTACTGCAGGAGAACCATGTTTTCAGTCCAAAATAAACTAATAAATATGTGTAAAGTTGTAAGTTACTTTCTTGGAAACAGTTTGATTAGCTCATTATTGCATATAAAGTTGAAATATCTTCTCTCTTTTCCCCCCTACAGGCACACACAGACACAATGTCCAAAAGCGGCTCCACAACAAAAAATCGCTTCTCTGTATAACCACAGTCCAACAAACTGTCCCAGTCCTAGCCTAGCACCAGTGAAGGTGGCACACGTTTCTCCAGTAACCAGCTGGACAGTCACAGTTGCCGAGTTTTCTAAGATTTTCTGATCCCTACGCCGCCACAGTGTCATATCAGAAGTCTCCCCTGCTACAAATGTACCTGTCTCCCCATCTCACCTGTTGTAAGATTCCTCCCAATAGAGATGTGTTGTTGTCAGATGCGTCAGCCAGAAGATGAGCTTTTGGCCGACGAGCGAGAATTTGTACAATGTTCTGAATATCCCATGCATATGTCAATGCACTGTAGTTATGGTGAAGAATGGACAGCTTAAGTAAGGAACGATACTGGATATTGTGGCAGAGTAGTGCTTATAGCATTGAGGTTTGTATGTTCTTAATGCATTACTACAGCTTGTAATGTCAAGCTTTTGCACATGAAACCAGAAGTTAGCTTGCCTTTAAAACAAGCTTGTGTCAGCTAGGGACAGACCAGAAAGAATGAAGGGGGTGGTGTCTGAATTTATTCTAAAATAAATTCAAAACTGTATGCACATTTGTTTTGTTGTTCGACAGTGTCTTTGTCAAGTCATTTCTTCAAATCTTTCTTGTGGTACTTTTTTCTTTCAATTTCACCCCACACAATTCTTTTGGTCTGCCCCTTTTTGAAAATATGGCAACTTAATTAATGTTTATACAGATTTTTGCAAGCAAGGATAAAAAAAAAAAGATGAAGAGCTTTTGCTTGGTTGATACTGTTTTGTAATTCACGTCCACAATGTTTGTATTATTAGTAGCTTTTATTTATGAATCGCTTTTCTTTGTAATACAAGCAATGTAAGTAAGAAGTAATGTTTGAAAGTACTATAAGGTATGGGAAGAGGATGTCGGTGTGTTTAACATGCCAAGTGTATTGTTGAATGTCTTTATATCGATAGGTCAAGTGACAAAAGTGATGCCCAGATTTAAGGGCATTCCCTGTCAAAAAAGATAAAAAGTATTGACTTATCCCGATTAAGATTGAAGAAGAAAAAATAACTCGTAAAAAAAATTACGAAGATCTTATTTCTTACGTTTTTCCTCTATTATGCAGTTGTCATGTTCTTTGAAGGTTCTGTAACTGATTTCCTCGAAAAGAATGAAATTGTACAGTGATGACAACTAAGGATGTATGGAATTGTCAGCTTTTTTGTAAATTGAAGCAGCGTACCTAACCTATCTATAATGCCGATATTGTTTCAAATTATTCAACATATGCTTAGCTGTAGTTTTGGCACCTCTGAATCTTGACCATGGATCGATGTGTAACCTTCCCTTTTGTTACAGATGGTACAAATGAATTCCTTGGTTTGCAGGCTTTTTATTGTAAACTTGGAAGAAAAACACAATAGAACTGACAAAAGTGAATGCATCACTGCATAAACAACTCCAAGTCATCAATTCACTCAATGGCCTTGTGTTGGAAGTCAACATCTTGCCTATGTTGGTTTTATCTCAAATTTGGATAACAAGAAAGTTCTTTCTTTTTTACTTAAGACTTCTTGAATCCTGTTGGGGTATATCATAATTTGTAAGTAAAAAAAAAGATTCTTTCAATGATGCTTAAAGACAAAAGAAACAGACGTTAAAAACGGGACTTGGAAAAGTTGATGTAAAGAGTGTGTAACCCAAGTTTTTGCCTAGGATGATGTAAAATGTGTACAGATAAAGCTTGGATATCCCTGCACACTTGAAGTTAAAAGACGTTCACAGCAAAGGCCTGCTATGGAGTGTTAGGGTGGTGTATATTTTTGACACAAGGATAGGTCCTTTTTCACTTGAGGGAAAGTTTGATGTGATTCCTTTACATATATCATACACACCTTTGGCTCCAGTTTGCATAACGTGAATAATGAAAACTGGGGAAAAATTGGTTTCCTAAGAAAGAATTAAAATTGGAAGAGGTGAAAATGTCTTGGTTCTATGATAAAGGTAGAGGCAGGAATATTTTTTTCCTGACGAGTAGTTTTGACATACCGTGTAAAAAAAGATCTATTAATGCTATTAACTCTTGTTTCTTGTATAGCAAAAGTACAGTTAGTGATGACGTTATGACTGATTTGTACCACTTTGAAAGCTGATTTGAACAGCTTGCATATATTTGTAGCACTTGCTATCTGAACAGAGTGAACAATATGATTATATTATGTGATGCACAGTAACGGATATATTTTCTTTTTGTCATGTTGATAGCCTTTCGTTTTTTTTTTTAGTTTTAAAAAACGACAGTGTATAATTAAGTCAATGTATTTACACATTTTCTGCATAAACTATAGATGTAATTCAATTTCCATGAGTGGGCGCAAGCTGTGCATTGTAATACCTGTAAGCTCATGATTTTGGTAGCACATTTGGTTAGCCTTGTTACCCATAATCATATATTACACAGTTGTAGGAACCTACCTTGTTACCCTAGGAAGGTTTGAAAAGATACAGGGGTTTTGCCACTGTATTGTAACATAAACATAGGATCCATCTGAAATGTCATAAAAAAAGTCACTACTCTACATGCCTCGGTTATCCTTGCTTGGCATTTCGTATGAGAAGTGAACAGCATTACACATACATAAAAACATGTATGCACTATACACACGGACATGCATGAAACAACTGCGATTTATGCTGTTTTGTACTTGCACAAATTGATTCTATTACAACTTCTGGACAAGCTATTGCTGGGAGCTTGGCATCAATCCTTGCTAGAAACAACAATCAGTGCTAGAAACCGGCTCAATGCAAGGCCTATACGACCACTTCTCGGCATTGAACTAGAAATACGAGAGAAACATGGCTATGTCAAGAGATGGCGGTGAACGTTTGATTTGAAAGCCTGTAGATTGTAGGTTGGTGGGAAACACTTGTCAGGGAGGGAATTCCAAAGCTTGGCCGTACGGGGAAAGAAACTCTCACTGTAAAAAGATTTCGAACAAGGAAATTGGACGGTAAAGTTGTGTGAGCTAGTGGAGAACCTAGTGGAACGCTTAAAAGTTCTGAGTGGTGGAACTAGTTGTCATCTCCCCATATTTCACAAAGGTCCACATTTGTAACAGTCCTTGTTTTTAGTTTTTGGTATATTTCATACATTTGTTCCTTTAACCTATAGCTAGCAACAGTTCTTTAGAGAAGTGAGCACAACAACACTAAAGGACTCAAAGAAAACCAGCCATTTTGTTCATAGCTTTTAATGGTTTCACCAATAAGCAGGCCACGATGACCATTGTGCTTGGTTCTTATGTAGGTATTACACTCTAAATTCCAGCACAGACTGAGTCCATGTTATTTTGTATATCTAGTGATAATGCACATAACCTCTCAGAAAAAACTGTTCTGTATGAATATACTTCCTTTTTTCAAACAGTGTAACACACCAGATTTCTGAGCAAGATGGTTACATCAAAGCTCATGTATCTATTCGCATTCAAAACTATCAAATGAAAGAATGTTGGCTGGTTTTTAGCCCTTGTTGCCTCTGTTTTTCCTGCATATAATGTCTTCAAACTTTTCTTACATATACATACTCTTGATTAATATTTTCCCAAACTAAGCATTTTATTTATCCCTCTATTACAACTAAACCCCCAATCTATATGCTTACAGCTTAAAATTGAATAGCAAGGAGATTAAAATTTTATTTTTGGTTTAGACATGATTTCGTTTCATCAAGTTTCTCTACGAAATTTGCCATGTTTCAAGACATATGCGCCAAAAAGCAGTTACTCAAGCAACTGGATATAATTTTGAATAATCATATCCAGTTGCTTGAGTAACTGCTTTTTGGCGTATCGTATTACCTGGATGTCTAACCTTCATCGACGTTTCAAGACATATGATTATAAGACACTGGTAACATTGTGGCCATCTAAATAAGGCCGCACCAATTTAATTTCTTGGTTAACGGATTTGCCTGCTTAATTTTTTTCTGATTTGCAAAAAAAAAAAGAAATTCAGAATCAACTGCAAATGCTCATATTTTGCCCGGAACGGTTGAAAACAAGAAATCAAATTGGTGTAGCCTAAGGCCACACCAATTTAATTTCTTGGTTAACGGATTTTTCTAGAAAAATAATGGAGCGGGCGGGCGGAAAAAAATAAAAATAAAAATAGGACCTAGGCATCGTATCATGGCCCAAAATGGTACGATAGGAACCATGAAGTCAACACACCAGGCAAGTTCAAAATTTAAACAATGAATTTTGAACTTTTAATGATACTATTGCATTGAAAGATGGAATAACTGTAACAACTAGGATGAAAAGGTCTGTTTTTAACTGTTCAGGGCAAAATATGAGCAGTTTGCAGTTGATTCTGGATTTTTATTTTTATTTGCAAATCAGAAAAAATGAAGCGGCAAATCCGTTAACCAAGAAATTAAATTGGCGTGGCCTAAGGTTGATAAAATTGTTCTGAAAGAACAATGCCCTGTATGTTGAATCATAACAGTTGAACTTCATTCCAATTGGAAGGAATTAAAACTTATCCAGATTTTCAGCCAAATCTTTGACCTTAAATATGACAAGTTTGTATTCCCTTGCATTGCAATCAATCTCATAACAGCATGATCTTCAGCAGAATCTCAGCAGTATCTGTTGGAATATTGCACATGATGAGGCCAGTGTTAGCGTCAGTATGGGGGAGGACAGGCCAGCTGAAGCCCCACTGCCGTGGTTGCAGCCGTCGTTATCGCAACAAGACGTGCAAATCTGTGGATGTGTCAAAATGTTACTGTAAAGTTGCAACAGCAATGCATGGTGGAGCACTAGGCAGAAATGTCAGCTGATGCCATGCTCCATACTGTTAGGCCACACCATGTAAATTTTATGGATAACGTCCGCGCGCGCATTGATTTTGGCCTGTTCTTAGAAAAAAAACCCAAGAAATTCCGCTTCCTGTAACTTATGACCAAAGAGTCACAACAGTGCCGCAAATCATTAGATTGACGTGAAACCCGTAACGCGAAATGGGTAAAGAGCACATGCTTTGTTTCTACAGGCCTGCAAAAATGTGATGAAAGAAACAGGACAGGACGACAACTGCTGTTCCACCTGATTTATTGCTGTTTTGATGATGAATTAAAGACTTCTTGCTTGTTACACTGTGTCACCTCATTCAATTTGTGTCCTAACATTTGTCGTCTCTTAGTATATTTCTAATCTAGGCATCTTGTTTTTTACGGCCCTTCTTGTTTTTTTTTCGCCCTCTCGCATTAGATTTAGGGTCTCCAAAGGACGTCATCCATAAAATTTACTTGGTGTGGCCTTACAGTAAATACAGTCAAGATTAAATCGAATTCAAAAATAGCTACTGTATAAACGAAAAACAGTGGCGGTATGAGTATTAGGAGCACTAAAATTTAACACCGTGGTTCTATTGAGTTTTGATGTGGAGGTGGGCGGAGCTGTGGCATTACTTTTATTATGTCCTGTTGGACTTCTGACACTAGTCGATAGGTGGCGTCTCAGCACCGTGTCAGATGAGCGACACCCTGCGGTCTTGTGAGCATGTACAGGCAACTTTTTGTGAATATCAAATCTAATAAAAAAATCGCTTCGATGTGTGACGGGACAGGTGGAAATCAATGTTGATCACCTATTGTAAACAAGATTTGGGGGTAAAATGTCCGAAAACTGAATCAATTTTACTTCTAATATAACTTCTTATCCCCAGGTTGATATGGTTGGCAGAACTTGATCGTTCTTTAAAACGATACTTGCCTCTTTAGTGACACCGAGGCCGGACATCTTGCACCCATAGTAGCACGTATCTGCGCAGCCGCGCTCGAAGTTCGTTATGATGCCGTTGACTGATGTGCTCTCGATCTGAAAAGAACAGGGGGACTTTTCAATCAACAATATATGTTCAATATGTCACATTCATATTCATATTTGATTGGTATTCTTTTCCCATACCTTCTAACCGGAGGTTTAGGTTTCGGCTTGTTTTCGACTCGACGTGTTTTAAGCGACTTTCTTTTTTTTTGTACTGGTATTTTTTTTTCGCCAGCCAATTGCAAATTTAGAGGCAAATGCAAATGGTAACTGCCTGGTATACAGATACTACCCTGCCAATTGATACTGTCTTGCAGCCAGCCGTCAAACATCCTCCCACGCCAGGGGTGCTTCCTACCAGCCCAAGGCGTATTTGCCGCGGGATAGCTCTGCCGTGGGAGAATGCCGTCAAAATATCTGCTTAGAGATTAGCAGTGAGCTCGTGTGTATAGTATATCATTCAATCAACTAGCTATCCAATCATTCCTTCCTTCCCTTCCTCCCCCTCCCTTCTTTCTTCCCTTTCTTCCTTCGTTAATTCCTTCCTTCATTTCTTCCTTCCTTCCTTCATTTCTTTATTCCTCCACTCCTTCATTCATTACTTCCTACATTTCTTCTTTCATTTCTTCATTCCTCCACTCCTTCCTTCATTTCTTCCATCCTTCATTCTTCCCTTCCTTCCTTCATTCATTCATTACTTCGAATTTTTTCCTTCCTTCCTTCCTTTCTTCATTATTGCCTTCCTTTCTTCCTTCCTTTCTTCTTTCCTTCGTTACTTCGAATTTCTTCCTTCATTATTGCCTTCCTTTCTTCCTTCCTTTCTTCTTTCCTTCGTTACTTCGAATTTCTTCCTTCATTATTGCCTTCATTTCTTCCTTCCTTCCTTCCTTCCTTCATCTCTTTATTCCTCCAATCCTTCCTTCATTACTTCCGGTACATTTCTTCCTTCTTTCATTCTTTCACCCGTCCCTGTCCCTGTCTGTCCGTACCATGCAGTAGCGCGCGCTGGAGCCGCATGACGACAGGCTGGAGTTGTCCCTGGTCACCTCGTTCTCGCACACCGTGCTGTAGTAAACCCATCGGAACGACTCCTTACACGTGTAGCAGGTCAGACCCGACCCTGGAGGGGGAGAAAAAAACACACATCCGATGCAATTTCAGAGGCCAAACGAAACAAAATCTGCCATGAAATACCATCATAATACTGCCAAGAAATTCTTACGCTAACAATAGGACAGTGACTTTTTGGTCTAAGATACTGTCTTAACGTTAACGTAAGGATTTCTAACATTTCTAAATACGGACATGTTAGAAATCCTAACGCTAAGAACATTCTTCCCTAGGATAAGGTACGGTGAGACGGTCTTAAAAGTGCTTTGAATCTTATATTACATGTATAGGAGATCCTAGATAAGGCTATTTTTTGACGTTCTTACCTGTTTTAGGTGTGCCTGAAATATCTTGACGCTAACAGCACTCTTTTCTGAATGGTCTTACCTGGTCTAAATCTTATATTACATCGACAGAATGAAGCTTAAAAACGAGACACATCTTTACGTCATGGTACCCTATAAGAAGACGAGCGCCAGTTTCTATTCAAGATATTACAATTAGACAAGAGAGCCAAGAAAACGTTTGGTCTAAGATAAAGGTGTTTAAGGCGTTTTTACCTGTTTGTAAGCATGTCAGAACTCCTAACGCTCGCAGTAAGACAGTGGGTAGATTTTTGGTCTAAGATAAAGGTGTTTAAAACGTTCTTACCTGTTTGTAAGCATGTGAGAAGTCCTAACACTAGCAGTAAGACAGTGGTTAGATTTCAAATCGTTCTTACCTGTTTGTAAGCATGTTAGAACTCCTAACACTAGCAGTAAGACATTGGTTACATTTTAAGGCGTTCTTACCTGTTTGTAAGCATGTTAGAACTCCTAACGCTACCAGTAAGACAGTGGTTGGATTTTTAAGGCGTTCTTACCTGTTTGTAAGCATGTTAGAACTCCTAACGCTAGCAGTAAGACTGTGACTAGATTTGTTTGGTCTAAGATAGATTTAGGTACGTGTTCAAGGCGTTCTTACCTGTTTGTAAGCATGAGATAAGTCCTAACGCTAGCAGTAAGACAGTGGTTGGATTTTTAAGGCTTTCTTACCTGTTCGTAAGCATGTGAGAACTCCTAACGCTAGCAGTAAGACGACGTCGTGTCGCATAGTTGTGTGGTCATGCTGCCCGCCTGTCCTGAGTCTGAGAGACGACAACACAAAACGTCATAAAGTATTCATGTCGCTGGAAACGACATTTAGTGGGATGATTTCCTGTGGGATCAAACCATAGAATCTTCGTGAAAGAGTTAAATATAGAGCTACAGTAATGTAATCTTCTTTCATATAAACGTTTAGAAAACGTTAAACCTCTGTATATACGTATCGCTTTAAGATATATTAGAAGTTGAAATTTCAAGATGTTTGTGGCTTAAAGAATCTAGAGTGGATGTCTTGTATACATATACATGATACGTATTTATAACTTTAAAATACAAACGTTACAGTATAGAGTACTCTGCTTTATATTCATAAATGTTTAGAAAACGCAAAACCTCTGTACCGCTTTGACATGTACAACTAGCGATTCTATGAGAGAGAGGGGGAGAGAGAGAGAGAGAGAGAGAGAGAGAGAGAGAGAGATTACATTCACACCCTCAGTATCAGTGATGTTAATATATAAAGAGGGAGAGAGAGAGAGGGGGAGAGAGAGTTAGGCAGAGAGGGAGAGAGAGAGAGAGAGGGAGGGAGAGAGAGTTAGGCAGAGAGGGTGTGAGAGAGAGAGAGAGGGAGAGAGAGGGAGAGAGAATTACAGTCACACCCTCAGTATCAGTGATGTTTTAAAATATATAAAGAGAGAGAGAGGGGGGGAGAGAGAGTAGTATCAGTGATGTTAAAAAATAAATATCGATATAGTCTCTACCAGACTTCTGGGAGGACCGAATGAATGCACCTGTGGCCTGATGAGAGGTCTGATAGAGACTATCAGCTAGACCGTGTCCCCTCGGTAATGCATGGACCACATAGCCGGGTACACAAGAGAGACTTCCCCGCCTTCTCTCGTGTTGGGTACGGTCGGCGGATCCAAAACATCCACGTTCAGTTCGCGTACATTTGATCCTTTGTTGTCGCGGCTCATTGTACGATGTTTCCAGAACCAGCACTGATTCTACTCCATCACGTAGGGCCACAGCAAGTAATTCTTATGGATGACATCAGCGCGCGCATTAATTTTTGCCCGATTTTTGGGGGAAAAAAAGAAATTTTGTTGCCCTCTGACAGTGGTCAACATGCCAAAAATGGTCAACGATGTCTGTTGCCATGCTGGAAGGTGGATGGCAGATAGCTATGAAGAGAAGAGACAAGAAAAGACTCTGATTTAATGTTTTGTTTCTTACTTTGATGCAGTGATATGTGATGTTGGGTGTGTATATGTGACGCTCTCACTGAATAAAAACCACAATGATTGAGTCAACATTTTAAAATGTAGGAACCTTGTTTTTTTTCGGCCCGCCTTGTTTTTTTTCTCCCGCTCGCATTAGATTTGGAGTCTGCGGAGGATGTCATCCATAAAATTTACTTGCTGTGGCCTAGCGTGTAATCACTGAGTCAACTATGCCGTTACCATGGCGACGTTAGTACGCCCCATTAGTGCGTTCGAACCGTGTGTGTGTGAGTTGCGCCTTTGGAGACCTACATTGGAAACCGCAGAGGAAACGTCTTTTGTGTGGGCGATTTTCATTATTGATTAAAGCTTAATGTGCTTCATTCAGGTAAACTGTTCCCCGGCGGTGCCTATTGTAAATGGCCGCGCCGAGCGATAAGCATTGTGTGCCGTACTCATCAGTCACTTAGGAACCACAGATGACTCGACATTTACTGTATATAAAAACGCGCGTTTTCCAGTGGGAATTTATGATGGCTGCACATTGAAAAACCACTGGCCTGTGTGTGTAAAGTGTACTCATTTCTGTGAGTCGGATTGTGGTGTTTAAAGCAGCGTTTGTGGAGTTTTTTCTTGGTGTTATCTTAGACTTTTATCGCCTGAACTGTGGACGTCGGTCGCACCTGTGACTTTCTCGCGTCAATATATTAGGCCACAGCAAGTAATTTTTATGGATGACATCAGCGCGCGCATTAATTTTCGCCTGATTTTGGGAAAAAAAGAAGAAGAAATTTTATTGCCTTCTGACAGTGGTCAACATGTCGAAAATGGGCATAGATGTCTGCTGCCATGCCGGAAGGTGGATGGCAGATAAGTATAAAGACAGGAGACAAGAAAAGGCTCTGATTTAATGTTTTGTTTTTTTACTTTGATGCAGTGATATGTGATGCTGGCTGTGTATATGTGATGTTCTCACTGAATCAAAACCATTTGTACAATGATTGAGTCAACATTTAAGAATGTAGGAACCTTGTTTTTTTTTTTGCCCGCTTTATTTTTTTTCGCTCGCTTGCATTAGATTTGGAGTCTGCGGAGGATGTCATCCCCAAAATTTACTTGCTGTGGCCTTATTGCCACCCAGAAGATAAATGCTGATATATTTGAAAATCATTTCTGGCCTGCAGTGGGATTTAATGAGTGTATTTGTGCCGACGTTCCAGGTGAAACCAGCGGTTGGGTGTACAAGTCCGATTTTTACTCCTTATTGAAGGAATGTAGACACTACGGGGGGTGGGCTGCATTCAATAAAAAATCTTACGTATCTGGGGACGGTCCAATGTTATTGCCATACTGCGCTAAACGATATGCTCGCAATTAACGCTAATGACTTTGAATTTTTTTTATATTCCAACATGTAATCACAAGACGTGGTGACGGCACACTCAAGTTTTTTTTCAACTTGTATTAATGCCGCCACCAACACAGGGACAATACAATACTCATTTTCAACTGAGTTAAGTGAGGAAAGTCATGTCTTTCCCAAGGGCACAAGATCGGTGACATGTCAGGGCTTGAACCCGGGACCACTTGGTCCCGAGTCGAGCATTCTACCGCTCCACCACCGCATTTTGAATTGGTATGGACGTTTCCGAGTGTAAAATTCGACATAATAGAAGCGTTTCGATTTGGAACTAGATGTAGTGTTTAGTTTTACATGTATATGTAACGAGAGCAAAATATGTTTAGCCACTGGTCAGCACACGATGTAATAATTAACCACTTCCTGACTATCTTCACCGTTCCAAGAATCCGTGTCACCCGAAAACCACATGTAAGCCATCGATCAAATGTCAAGATAGGCAGGGCCAGAGTCAGTAAAAGTAAGGGGAGCCCTGGCTCAGCAGGACAGACGGTAGAAGCAGCTGGAAGAACGACACCAAAATAAAGGAGCTAAGCCCGGCACGTCAACACCCTGTGTCTGTTCTCATTTCTATCGAGAGCTCTCCACCTCTCTCTTTGGCTGCTTCTTACATGGCGTTGTCGGCAGGATCCGGGTAAAACAAATCATCTTGCTTCCTGCGACGGGGACGACTCCGACGGACGACTACCAAAGTGAC